AACAAATTTACATTGGTGAAACTAATTTACAAAGCCTCATTCCCTTTCGCTAGGAGACTCAAGCGAAGCCCGGCTGTGTGACGGGTTCTCCTCAGTTGCGACATAGCAATTGCCGTATCTTTTCCTAAAACTATGCTGGGAAATTGGACTTTGCAGGCAAATTTTTGCATGCAAAAAACAATCTGCCTAAAACTTCTCCGGGGCCTGAAAACCAGGAGAACTTGATCTGTGAAGGCTCTACAGTGGCAATATGGTCGGAGCAAGAGTAGGGTTGCCAATGTTGGTTGGACGTATTCCTAGAGGTTTCGTCACATGACGTAACCTATCATTAAAGATTAGCCTTTAATTCCTGGAGACTCCAGGATGATCCTGGAGGGTGGCACCCCGAAGCAAGAGGCTGAGAGCTGAAAGGGGTTGAGCATTAACACAATGGAGGAGCCACAAGAAGGAAGAGATCCATCTCATGGCAGTCAGGTTTGAAGTCTTATTTCCCTATGGCAGCTCAGACCCTGGCGGTTGGGGGCTGAGCCCCCATAACCTCTCAGATCCCTCCCCTTCGAATAAGCATGAGTTAAGGGCAGCCAGACGGACCACAAAGAGTTTCCTGACCACTCCCTCCCTCACCCCATAAACTGTTCTGCAAGAGGAGAGCACTGAGAATAACATTATTACCTCAAGCCAGGCAGAGCTCCCTGTGGACAGGCCTTAAAATCACTATTGACAGCTCAGTTGAAATCATGCAGGATTATTAGCCTCTGTGAGTTCTGTCCTCCCCTCATTATCCCCACTTGCTATAAAGAGGAGAACAGTGCACGCAATGGAGGGACCGTCCATCTCGTTGCTGTCATGATTATATTTCAATAGTGCTTACAGGCCCCGTCAAAAATCAAGGCCCTGCTGCGTTAGGCCCAAACACAGAGTAAGGGGAGAGCCTCGGCCGTTTGTAGCAGAGGTTCTCTCTTTGTCCTATTCAATGCCACACATTTCAGCTATCAGGAGAAGACAAAAACGATCCCCTGACTACTGCTCATGCCTGTTTGAATCAATAATCAGCCTCCACTTCCTTCTCTTTTTTTCAAACTTCAGTTTGAATCATTGCATGGGGGGGGCGGGGTGAGGAGGATTAAATTTGCTATAAATTCTCTCGGAGCCTCATGCTATTCCAATCCCTGAATTAAATCCACTCAAAGTCGAGGCATTGGTCTGCTAGCCATCATAAAGAAAGCATTCAATCACTATGAAGTCAGTCAGATCTGCAGAAAACACACCCCAGATCGGTGGGCTTTATGACAGGCGCACAACAGATACCTAAGAAAACCATTACACTTGCAAAGCAAGCTAACACTGAGTAAGTGCTTAAGGCCCATACAGTGCTCCAGCATCTCGCAACCGATGTGAGCAAGGTTAGTGTCTATTGTTAATTAGCCAAGACAAAGCTAAAGCAGCATGTCTATGGCAGGCAGCACTCAGCACAAGCCTCTGCACTAACTTCAAGGAGAGCAGGATCGAAACCCATTTGTGTTGTGCAAAACATGCACCTAAAATAATCTTCCATTTAAATTCCTCTTAAAAACCTGGGCCTCCCTGCACCCGAGTGTAATTCACAACCCCCCAGTGTCCTTTAGCCAGCTAACGTTGTTCTGATCACCAGCAAGGGCACCCGTACCGCACTTGACATGAATGATATTTCCACTGGGGTCAGTGGTACAAGGCAGGTCTGAAATATCTTACGCTGACATAGGCCCTCGGCCTGCAGTCTTTTTTCAGGATCCCCGCTATCTTCGGACGCAATTTTGGATTGCTGGATTGCTTTCCGGTGTCTATCCACACATGTCGTGCTATTGTAGCCCTGGTGGTCCCAGGATATGAGAGAGACAAGGCGGGTGAAGTGATATCTCTTATTGGACCAACTTCTGTTGGTGAGCGGGACAAGCTTTCAAGCCCCACAGAGCTCCTGCCAGACCGAAAGAGCACTTGCGGAAGCTGGAAAGCTTGTCTCGCTCTCTCTCGCCAACAGAAGTCGGTCCAATGAAAGAAATTACCTCACCCGCCTTGTCAGACAGATAGATAGATACTGGCATTCCCCCACATATTATGCATTAAAATCCGCTAAGTGTTTATAACACAGTCAAAGCAGTTGTGCAGTAAGTGTAAAAACGCTCCTTGGCTATTTGACCATTGCTTATTATAACCGTGCGTGGGTCAAACATGGCCTTGAAGGTTTTGCAGCCCAACCATTGCAGGGCTGGGCTAGGGCCGGAGAGAGGCCAAGGGAAACCCACCCGAAATACGGGGCTGCAAAAGGCATAACAAGCTGGGTGCTTAATTGTGCGCTTTACTGCAGCAGCGTCCCTGGGAGGGCTGGCCACCTGTGGGCTGAAGCAGGTGCACCATTCTGTGCAGCCCCAAAGCCCTACTTTGTGCCAGTCCAATGCAAAAAAGCAACAGGAAGGCGGGGGCAGACTGGTTTTTATAACCCTGACCAGGTTCCTCACCTCAGTCCCCTCCCCATGCTGCAAACACAGGGCTCTGCTTAGCTGTACTAGGGGGAGCATTCCCCTCCCCGGCCATCCTCCCAGGACAACTGGCCCCAGCGAGCTTAAGCAGGTGGATAGGTGTGGGCCTAAAAAGGCATTAAAAAAAAAAACACACCACCTCTGACAGGGAATTTTTAAACCAGCGCAACACCCACCTCCCCTCCCCCTCCGAAGCTCTTTCTTGCCAAGCTGGGTTTGCCACTGCTCCTAGGCCGGGGACCGGAGAAGCTCCGCCGGCTCCGGAGGCCGTTGCCCCGGGGGGCCCCGCCCCAGCCGGGGTTTTCTCCCTCCAGCCCAGCGGCACAGATCGGGGGGGGGGGGCTGGAACTGCCCTGTCGCCCCGCTGCGAGGCGCTTCCCCCCCGGAGCTCCGGCCACTTGCAGATGAAATTCTTTCTTGGGCAGGGCCCTGCCTGCTCCGCCGCAGCCATCAAAGGGCAGGCAGCAGGTCGCCGCCGCCCCGGGCCAGAGATCTCCCGGCTCAGGACAGGAATGAGGGAGGGGGCGACCCAAGAGAGCCTCCTGCAGCCCAGCGCCGCGCCCTGGCTCGCAGCCACACAGCCCCGGGGAGCTCCCCTGCGGGAGTCAGTCCAGCCACTGTAGCAAATCGGGCTGCTGGGCTCCGTGTCTCCCTGTTGGGGCTGCAGGGGGCCGGGCCAGGCTGGCTAGCGGGGAAAGACGCTGCAGGACCCGGGGGGGCGGGTTGAACCTGCCCGGGGCTGTTGGCTGGTAACAAGGAGCGACGGGTGCGGGCTGGGGGCAGAGGCAATCGGGCTGCCTGGGGGTCAGGGGTCGGTGTGAGCAACCCAGCGGGCCCACTGTCCCAGCTCCCCGCGATCGCGGCAGCGGCTCGGCCGGTGCCTCTGTGCGCTGGCAGCGGATGACTTGGTGGGGGAGAGAAGGTGCAAAGCATCTGGATGAGCTAGTCCCGGGCCTCCCGCTGCGAGCCCTGGGGGCTCTCAGATCCCGGGGTGTGAGTCCGGGGCGGTGCTGAACCTCTCACACGCAAACAGAATAAACCCCCGTGCCCCCCCTCTCCCCTTCCTCCCGGGGCTGGCCCGAGGGGCGAGCAGGCTTGCAAGGGTTAAGGGAGGCGCTGGCCTTTGTTTTCCACGCAGCCCAAAGGGCTGGGCCGTTAACGAGGTAAATGCAATTCGCAGGATTTCACGGTAAATTCCCCAGCCCCCAGAGCTGGCTGCACAAACAAGCCGCGTTATCCGGTCCTGACAAGCCGCCAGCGAGGCTTGGGGGCGCGGGAGCAGCTGAGTGAGCAGCGAGTGGGACCCGCGCCTGGCCGGGGCTGGGGGGATTAGTTCAAGTCCCAGGCGCTGGTGGGAAGCGGGCACCGCCGGCAGGCGGGGGGGCAGAGCCCGATCGCTCCGGATCGGCCCCTGCTAGACCCAGACGATGAAAGCAAAAGGGGGCCCGGGGGGTAAAGTCCCTCTTCGCGGGGCGTTTTCCAGCGCGATCGCCCTGGCCTGCTCGCGGCTCTGATCTGGCCTCTCCACCTGCCCTCTCCGGGGAGCGGAGGGCTTGGCAGCCTGGCTACGGCTGGGCTGGTCGCTTTCCACCCCGCTGCCCGCTTCGGCAGGCTGGAGAACAAAAGCGCCCCGTGCCTCCCCCTGTCCCTGTCCCTGTCCCTGGGGATACGTCCCCAGCTCGCGCCGCCCGCCCCGCACCCAGCGCTCAGCCGGCTGCAGACTGAACCCAGCTTGCCAAGAAAACCCCGCCGGAGCCAGGTGACGGCGGGGGCGGGGAGGGGGAAATCCCCGGGAGTCAAAGCGAGAGCAGCCCTAGAAACACCTCCCCTCCAGCCCAGCGCCTGCACTCGGGCGCGGGGCCTCGCTGGGCTCTTGAAACCGAGAGGGTGCTTGAGTTTTACGCGCATCCCCTCCCCTTCCCTGCTGCAGGAACAGCCGCAGGTGGGGATTAGCAGAGCCCAGGGGGAACCGCTTCCGAGGTTTTGGAGGGCCGGGGCAGCGCAAGCGGGTCTTCAAAGGCTCATGCAGACCTTCCAAGAAAGCAGTCTCCAGCACCGCCTCCCCTCCCCCTTTTCCTTCCGCGCCCCCCCGAAACAAAACCTCGAATCGCTTTGAACGCGGGGGCAACGAAGGGATCACAATCCCCGCCGGTTTAGCATAACCCCTCGGGTAACTCGGCCCCGCTTTTCACATGCATTTTTTTGCAAACGCTTCCAACAGGTTAGCAAGGCAAGTGTCACTCCCCGGGGCTGGGCCTGCCTGACAAGCCCGAGTTCCCAGGCTTTCCCCGCACCCCCACGCTGCCACTCACCAGAGAGAGACTATATCTATCTCTATATATACTTAAATAAAGATCATTTTCAATGGGAAGGAGCCAGGCTCCTGCTCCGAGCCCCGCCCCAGCCTGTCCCCCCTAAGGCGCCAGGCCCAGGGTGCCTTTACCTTTCAAATAATGACTCACTGTCGTTTTTTCTTTTAATATGTCGTTATAAATATATTTTGTCAAAATATAGGATCATTATTGTCAAACCATTTGCACATAAAGTCATAAATAAGGTCAAGGTGAACGTTTAGTTTAAGATCAGGGTCCAGCGGGAACACGCAGTCCTGGGGAGGGGAAGGGGGGGGTTAACGGCACCCGCACCCCTCCACCACCATCTCCTGGTAGTTTTTCAGGACCACTTTGTCGTACTCGTCCAGGTACAGCATGGAGATGGCGCTGAGCTCCGTGGGCACGCAGCAGGCCTTGGGGATGCTGGCGTTCACGGAGTTCACCAGGGTTTGCACGATGGCGTGGTTGGTGGAGTTGAGGTGGTCGGCCAAGGGGAAGGGGCAGTCCCCGTGGCAGTAAAAGGCCTGGTAGCCCGGGGGGGCCACGATCCAGTCGTTCCAGCCCACGTCGCTGAAATCCACGTAGAGCGCATGGCGGCGGCAGTTTTTTTTGTTCTTGCGGGGCCGCGGGTGCTTGGCGCTGCGGCGGGCCCGGCGGGTCAGTGCGTGGCCCCTGCCGTCGTGGCTGAAAGTGACCAGCAGCGGCCTCAGCTGGGCCCAGTCCCCGTCTCCTTGAGGTAAAGATCGGCTAATCCTGACGTGGCTCCCTGGCCGGGCCGGCTGCAGCGGGGTCACCTCCACCGCCAGCCCGTGGTTGGGCTGCTTGTCCTGGGTCCAGCGGAGGACGGCGGGGCTCACGTCGAAGCTCTCCCACCGGGACACGTTGTGATGCACCAGCCGCGTGTCCAGCAGCCGCGTGATCACCTGCCCGCGGGCCGGCAGCGGCTTCATCACTTCGTAGATGTTGATCCGGTGCGAGCCCCGTTCCCACGCGGGGCTCTGCGCTTCCAGCTGCTCCCGGTACAGCCGCAGCTCGGCCGAGGTGATCACCTCGTTCTCCGGCACGCTGCTGAGGTTGAAGAGGAAGCGAAAGCGGGGGGTGTCGCTGGGCCCGGGGAGGGTCTCCAGATGTTCTGCAAGGAGCGGGGTGGGGGGTGGGGTAAAAACAGAGCGTGTGAACGTTTGGGGGAGCCGAGACACAAGGCCAGGTGAGTCAGGGCACACGGCTCCTCCCTCCCGGCCACGCTGCTTCACCTGTCCCTAGCCCTGCACGGAGAGAGCTCAGCCCTCCAAAATGCAAAGTAGCAACATTCCCCCCTCCTCCCCCCTGCTCGCCAACGCATCATTTCCACGCCTAACCAGCTCCTGCCCCGGAATCCCGCTTCACCACCGCCGGGCCGTATTCATACGGATTTACAGACGAGGGTGTTTTAAAACCAAGTTTCTTTAAAACACTTGTCCTTCCCCCTCCCCCCCGCCTCCCCCCGAAGGATCTTGCTCACAAACTGTGCCCAGCGATTGGGAAACACAGAGCCGTGCCTTGTTGATCCCATAACTGGGGGGGGGGGGCGGATAAATTCCGACACAGCAATGATGCCGGTGGATTAATAGCTCCGCTTGACTTTGGAAAAGAAACATCCGCTACGAAACATTTGGATCAGATTACAAGGCCCTATTGAACGAACCTCACAAACACGCTGTTGTCGGTATTAAATTCAAGGAGGTTTTTTATTTTCTTTCTTTTTTAAAAAAAAAAAAAAAGAGCCCAAGCAGGCAGCGATCGCTTTGATATCTCAAAACAAACACACACGGGACGCGATGGGGGGGATCTCGGTTACTCCGGAGTTGAATCCGGAGTGAATTCCGTGGGAGCTCGGAGTGGGTGACTCGAGTCGAAACCCAGAGTGACGGGAGGAAGCAAAGCAGCCCTTCACACCAACGGGTCAATTTCAATCTCCGCGCAGGATGCTGGAAAACGCAGCCGCGGGACTAGCCCAGACCAGCGGGCCGGGGGGAGTCCGCCTTCAGCCGATCCAAATCCCGACCGCTTCCCGACGCCCCCACCCCAGGGCTGCAGCACTGACCTTCATGGTGGAAACTCCTCACGGTGTTGGCCCGGCTAGTCGATCTCTCGGGGTACCGCAGGCTGATGTCCTGCAGGCTTTCCTCCTCTTCCCCGGACTGCAGCCGGTAGAGGTCCAGCATGTACGCGGGGACGACGGCTGCTTTGCTGGGCTGGGGCCGCCTTCGGAGCCCGAACATCTGCAGCAAACTCGCCTCGAAACCCCGCAAGAGTTCATGGCTTTGCCCAGAGCGGCGTCCAGATCCTGCTTGCGCCTGGAGTTCTGCAACTTTCTTCCTCCCCGTCTCGGGTATCAAACTGGCATGGTTAGTACCTCCTAGCAGAACTTGGCATAACAGAATGACCATCAGCATTCGGTTACCAGGAATCATGGTGTCTCTGGGGTTTCCAAAAAAAACGCAACAACAAACAAGGAGGGTCAAGATTAAAAACAGCCACCCCACCCCACCCCCCCAAAACCCGAGCCAGCAGCGGCTGCGAGCGGCAAACGCGTCTCAAAGGCGAAGGAATCGCCTGTAATGGACTCGCTCGAACTTGTTTACAGCCGAAGAGCCCCCACAATCAGATAGCCGCTATCCGGCTCATCTGCTCGGTCCCTGCTATCTTCGCAGTGATCTCCGCCTAACTTCTTTCAAGAATAAACAGTGAACATTGGGCTTAGATGGAATTTCTCCTCTCGCCCTCTCGCCTCCTCCCCGACCCGACGGATCGCTGGAGTGCAGCTGATCGGGGGCCGGGGGGGGGGGTCTCCACGAGCCTGGATCACAGGGCAGAGGGAAACAAAAAGTGACTTGGCCCCTTTTATTATTTTGCTGGCGCTGTCCCTTTGAAGTGGGGCTGCAGCTTCGCCGCGGCCTTCAAGGGGTTTTGAGAAACGAGACATGCCGCGGGTGGGGGGGGGGAAGTGACTTGAATCTAGGGTCACTGCAAAGGTAAGACAGAGAGAAGGAGAGTTTGAAAAGTCCCCGATCTGTTAGCAGACGCGCCTGGGAGGGGGCTTGCGCGTTACAGTCCGCGAGGGGTCAACCCCGGGAGCGAGGGGAGAGCAGCGAGAGACGTTTACACCACTTCCAAGCCCAGGAGCAGGAGGAGAAGGAGAAGGGGCTACTCACTGACAGCAAACAAGGCATGTAAAAACAGTCCATGATTCTTGCCAGCCAATCTGGAACAAACGGGTGGAAAAGCTCAGGGGCTCGGAGGCGCTTGGCTGCCGGGGCTGGGACTGCGGAGCGGCTCCGAAAATGAATATTTGAATCCAATGAGCCTCCAAAGCGGACTGGCTCTGTTTTTCTTCCAGCCCATGAGAGTCACGTGGCCCCCAGTCACTCCTCGCCCCGCTTGTCCGTCACAGCCAGGCACCGCCCACTGGGCTCCAAAAGGGATGTCCCGCCCCTCCGCCCCTGTCAATCTCCTGGCAAGAGAAACCTCCTCTTGCCAAGGGGCAGTGGCTGCCCTGATCCTGGCACTAGTGAAATCCCATGGGTGGGGGTTGAGGGTGACTTCAGTTTAAAGCCCGATCCTGCTCCCACTGGAGACCCCCCCTTTCCCTTGCACCGACCTTGTGCGTCTAGAACCGCAGTGCTCCAGCAACTGCCCTCCCAGCCCCACCCTGACCCCACAACATCCCCGCTCCCCCCAGGCCAGCCCAGCCCCTCCTCCCCTGCAGGCCTGCTGCCACGCTTTGCATCCTTTGCAGAAGGCTGCGCTTGTGTCATGCAGCCTGTGAGTGAAACCCAGGCGCCATCGGTTTTACCCAGCAGGTCTCCCCCGATAGAAAAGTAACCCCCATCCACTGAGCGCACATTTCCCCAAGCGTTAGGAAATAACCCTAGCAAGAGGACCAAACGCATGGAGGGGCTCAACCCTTCCCTAGCCTGCAAGAAATCTTGCCAGCATTAAGTTAGATGGGGGGGGGGGGGTAAGAAATCCCGATGTTCTTAACAAACCAAGGGAAGGATTTGCCAATAGGGCAGAGGCCTGTTTTGCTGGGATTAGAGCTCCCATCTGAGTTTAAAAACACAACTAATAAAAACCCAAGGCATGGTCAATTTCATCAGCGCCATAAAACAGAAGAAAACTCACTAAGCTTTCCCTAACATGGAGCTTCCCATGAGTGGGGCACTGGGAAAGTCCTCTTAGCTTCTAGGAGCAAGTCAAATATGAAATAGCCTTTGGGATCTGGTCCTCCCCCACCCCTGGGTTTGCAGGAGGGTGTTAAGTTAATTCTTACCGCTACATGCGGGCTTCGGCAAGTTCCTTCCAAGAACCTTACATCTCAACAGCTCAAGTAATTTACAGGCGTGTAGGGACGCTGGAAGCATGAGTCTGTCATCGGAAAGGGCCTATTCAAAAACATTACACAGTGTCAAGGCAAAAACAGGCCAACACCTTTCCCAGCGCTCTCAGACCCAACGCCTGTGAAGCAGGGCCAAGCTCAGCCATTAGTTCATCAAGGAGAGCCACAGATCCCAGCTAGTCCAAGCCAAGGCAGAGAGAGGTCCCCACCCATCTGAGCCTGGGGCCAAACCCATCCTAGCAGCTGATTCTGTCCTTCTCTCTCACCCACCGCCCCACTTCACCTTGGATATTTCACTTGCCCCCTTGGATCGCTTTTGTGAACTCGCTAAAGGAGCAATACAAAAAAAAAAATCTTTTTGGACAGGAAATAGAGCCGATTCACCCAGCAATTCCGGCTCAGCGCTGCCCTGAAAAGATAAAGGGCTATTTAAAGGAGCGATCTCCCTGGGGACTGCAGGTGCAGGAGCGTTATAGGTGCCCTCGTTCAGGGCTTGATGAGTTTTAAAAATGAAACACTGACATTTTAAAATGCAGGAGTGAGGGGGTTTATTCCGTAGTAACTCCGCGAATTGAAGGAAAGCAGGTAAATCCTCCGCTTCCTCCAAGTCTGGAAGGCAGGCTCCTCAGTGACATGCGATTGAAAACAAAGAGTTTAGAGGAGACTCTAAGAAGTGTGAATAATGAGATTTCAGATGGTCCAGATGGGGGACGGCTGGGTCTGGCCCTTCCCTTGAAGCCCAGGATTATACTTGTAGAAATTGTTACCTGCGGGGAGGGAAAAAATGCCCCCTCCCACTCCCCCCCCCCCCGCCGCGATCTAAGGCAGCGGAGCCAGGCGGCACTCCGAATCCTCAGGTCCCCTTTCGCCATCGAACCACGCTCCTCTGTGTCAGAACTGGGCAGGTGTCTAAGAGACCAAACCAAAGCGGATTGGAACGGAATCACCCGAAATCAAGTCGCACAAAGAGAGATTTTCCACTCCCCTTTCTCGCCGCACGTGCTTTTTACTCTCTCTACCCGTCCGTCTCCTCCCCGCACCAGGAGCATCACATCTGAAAGCCTCGGAAATCCTGCCGGGTTTAGCCAAGCGCACAGCACCCTCGGCGAGCAGCTGGAACCAGGTGTAACCTGCGCTCGCCTGGCGAGAACCAAAGAACGGGCCGCGCGGGGGGGGGGGGGGTTGATCACCCCAAGGAATATGCGGGCTGGGGGGCGCACAAAGATGAGTCTAACTATGCTGATATTGGACACCCCCAAGGATCACTCATGACACTGCCTTTGAAAGGGAACCTGGGGAATCGCCTCCCCCGCACTAGAGGCGGCAGAGTTTGGGAATGAAAAGCATGGGATGGTTAAAGATCTGGTCTCTCTCCCTGCTCCCCACCAGATGGGGAAAGTGGCCTGGTTACCCCCAGCCCAGAGTCAGGTGTGCGGGGGAGCAATGCCCTTGGGTGTGACAGGACAGGTATGGTGCCGCCCCAATCTCTCACCACAGGTCCATGCACTAGCCTGATCCTTGGCACGCTCTGCTGGAGGGTGCGGGAACCAGGGGGGCACACCAGCAATCTGGGGAGGTACTAAATCGGAGGTGGGCAAACTACAGCCCGGGGACTATATCTGGCCCTTCAGACATTTTAATCCGTCCCTCAAGCTCCAGCTGGGGAGCGGGGTTGGGGGCTTGCCCCACTCTGCGCATGCCAGGGCTCTGCACGCTCCCAGAAGCAGGGGCACACAACCCCCTCCACCTATGTGTAGGGACAGCCAGGGAGCTCCGCACACTGCCCCCGCAGCTCCCATTGGCCAAAAGCCAGGGCCAATGGGAGCTGCAGGGGCAGTGCCTGCAGATGGGGCAGAGCCGCCTGCCCCCGCCTCCACATAGGAACTAGAGGAAGGACATGCCGCTGCTTCTGGGAACTGCTTGAGATAAGCACAGTCTGGAGCCTGCACCCCAACCCCCTTCCGCACCCCAAGCCCCTGATTCCCCTCCCACCCTCTGAACCCCTCAGTCCCAGCCTGGAGCACCCTCCTGCATCCCCAAACTCTCCTTGCCAGCCCCACCCCAGAACCCACACCCCCTGCCGAAGCCCTCACCCCATCCCGTGCCCCAACCCCCCATTTTGTGAGCATTCATGGCTCGCCATACAATTTCCATACCCAGATGTGGTCCTCAGCTCAAAAAGTTTGCCCACCCTTGTACTAAATGCTAATCCCAGCACTGAGGGGACACCCCAGTCAGCTGCCAGTGGCACCCTCGGGCCTTGCTAAAGCCACTTTGCCTGGGTATGCACCAGAGCCAGCTTCAGAAGTCAGTGTCCTCTCTCCCCTCCTTCTCTTCCTTTCCCCCTCCCTCTCCCACATCCCTTCCTCCCACTTTGCCTTCCCCTCCATGGACCAGGCTAACCCACACCAGCCAGGTCACTGGGCTACTGCACGCAAGTCCTGGGAGCTCCCATCAGTCAGCTGTGAGGATGTCACTCACTCCCCCCACGGCCAGGCTGGACTAGCGGCCCACATGCCGTGGCAATCCAAAGGATGCACCCACGACCTGCCGCTGATTGGTGTGCACTTCAGACACCGGTACATAGAGACTACCCTGATCACAGTAACCACTCCAGCTGACTGCTCCAAGGAGGGATGGACCCACCCCTCAGAGTTCAACCCCAGATCCAAACTGTCCTGAAGAGTGGGTGGCTGGGATCTGGGACAGACATGCCAAACCCACAGAAAAAACACAGACGTTGGGCTTGTTTCTGGCTTAATTGGCTTGTGAGTTGCTTGTTGGCTGGTTTTTGGCTTGTAGCCCACAGGCAGCGAGGTCTATCTTCACCTGGTGCCTTAGCACCAGCAATATTCAGAGCCCAGGGGCCCAGCTCCACCAATCCTTGGGGCCCGGCCCCACCTGCCACCCCCCCATGGCTCCCCCGAGTGTCCCCCGGCCCCCTCTTGCTGCCCCGCCCCACGCCTCCTGGGGCCCCAGAGCAGAGCATCCCACTTCTGCCTCTTCCCTGCCGCTCCATGCTGCCTCCCTGCAGCAACTGCTGCCACAGGGTCCTAGCGCCCCCCCCCCCCCCCCGCCGTCTCGACTGACAGGGCAGACTGCCAGGGCCTGCCCTTCCACCTCTGACTCTTCCCTTTTCCGGCAGGACCCTCCACCATCACAGGGGGCCCCCCCCGCCCACAGTCACCGCTCCTGCCCCACGCTGGACAAGGGGCAGCCCCATCCCTCACCCCCAGTGAGGCTACAGTCAGGGGCAACAGAAGGGGAGGAGGTGCACGCAGCACCCCCCGGCACCCACCCCGTGGGAGGCGAGGGAGATTCCTGGACCTGAGAGGGGCCCTCGGACACATGCAGTGACAGTGGTGGGGGTGAGTGTGCTGCTGGGGGGGCGGGAAAGGGGGGCTCCTCCCCCAGAGCTCGCTGCTGCTGGCAGGGAAAGGGCTGGGGGGAGTCCTCCTCTCTGGCCCCTTGTCCCGGAGCAGCCTGCCTGCCCCCCAAACTCATCCCCAGCCCTGCCCCACCTCAGATCCCACACCCCCAGCCAGAGCTTTCACCCGCCCCACCGCACCCTCAACCCTCTGCCTTAGCCCTGAGCCCCCTCCAACACCCCAAACACCTTATCCCCAGTCCCAGCCAGAGCCCTCATCCCCCTGCACTCCAACCCTCTGCCTTAGCCCTGAGCCCCCTCCAACACCACAAACCCCTCATCTCCAGCCCCAGCCAGAGCCCTCATCCCCCCACACCCAAACCCTCTGCCCTAGCCCTGAGCCCCTCCCACACCCCAAATCCCCCAGCCCCTGACAGAGCCCTCACCCCGCACACTCCTATTCTCACCCTGAGCCCCTCCCACACCCCAAACTCCTCATTCCCAGCCCCAGACAGAACCCTCACCCCCTACACCCGTACTCTTGCCCTGAGCCACTCCCATACCCCAAACCCCTCATCTGCAGCCACATCCCACAGCCCTTACCCCTGCATCCCCTCCCTCTGTACACCCTCCCAGAGCCTGCACCCCACACCCCAATCCCCTG